TAGCGAAACAAAGGAATGTTTAGTCTCAAAATTTAAAAAAATGTACGCTGCTTCCTATTCTTTCCCAGCAGCGTCACGACCGCTTTCGTGAATGAACCAAACCGTTGCATTAACACGTTAACACCAGCAGCTGTCCGCCGTCAAAAGTATCCAACAACACCGAGATGGAGGCAGGGTATCGTGGAGCGGCAACTTTTGCATTATTCTATGCCATTCTTATCATCAATAACTTGTGGCTCGCTGATTTTGTTGATAATGCGGACAAACAGTCGCTTTGATTAGTTACCACACTGGCCAGGCGCAAACATAATCATAAGCGTCGGAATGGAAAAAGGCATCGTTCCGCAGATGCACCTAGCAGCTGCGAGAAGGAAACCATGCACTGAGCTTCAGCTTCGGATCATTTGCAGCTCAAAAAGCAAGCCAGTGGCAAAAGTAGGGCAATCTCATTGCCATCGCGATCGAGCAATGGTGGCGCCCATGCTTGCTGGACAGCGGCAGTATAGCGGTAGTTTCTGGGGGTGCCAACAGCGTGTTTTAGACTTCGTTGATGCATTTTCAGGCTCTGAACATGCATCGAAATGTTAAAGATAGGGTTTAATGCATAGCAATAAGTATCTGAGTCTGGAATCGCATTGTAAAATTTCGTTGAAGCTGGGACGATCGTTGTGTTCGTTGTGGCGACAATATTTATGCATCGACTCCTATAGACAGCTGAAAGGGAATCGTGAATTTTTCATTGTAGCAGGAAATTTCATTGAAGTGGTGTTCGTTGTACTAGAGTTCGACTGTACCTAATTTGTTGGGTGAATATGCAGAGCAGGAAAGCACACTTGCAGATTATGAAAAGGGTCATAGCAGATCGCACGCAAAAATGAAATGGCGAGCCGACTAAACAAAAAAACAAACTACCTGCTAAACTTTATAGGAATACTGCGCCACATAGTCTTGTTCAAGCAAGCAATAACAGCCAACTGCGACACCAAGAGGAAACTGGCGTATCGAAGGGCACCTAAAACTTCTGCCTCAATATAACACATAGTCGCCTCACCTGTGGAGGGTCCGGATGCCCTGGTCTTCCTCTTCATGACAACCACAGCATCGTCGTCCCTGACTTCTGAGTCGCGTCGAAAGTTACGCTGGTTTGGCAGTCGTGGAGGCGACCGGTGGTCTCGGCCCACTGGCACTGCAAGGAACGGCCAACAATCAATAAGGCCTGACCACGCTTCTCTGTACAGCAATATGAGAGAATTAGGTGGTGGGGAGGCTTCGGGATTTTCCACTGAAGCTCCTCTGAAGAAATTTGACGCTAGCACAATGCAACTTGTAAAGAAACTGGCAGTTGGCACATGTGATTCAGTGCTGGACGAGGCTCAGATACTAAAACATTTTTTATGAACCATGTAGAGAGCACGGCCAAGAGCACTGAATACCACAGTAAGCTTTACTTGGTACAATATATAAAAGAGACATCATGCAAACGTTCAAAGTTACCTACAAGATGTTAGGCCAGTTAGCAAGAAAGCACATAGTTATGTTTTTCCTGGTTTCAACTTCAGTATGGTTGATTGGGCGAGTTGGTGATACATAATTGTTTTTAAACGAAAGTGCACTACATAGACGCGGACAGAAAGACAGGGCCAAGCGCTTGTCCCTGTCTTTCTGTCAGCGTCTAAGTAGTGCGCTCGCACTTCAAAACATTCAACTTCAGCTTGAGCCGTGAATTTAGATGTAAAGCAGCTTATGGTTAAGGCTTGTCCCCTGTCCATCATCGCAGCCACTCGAGTACTTGGAGCGCCCAAGTACTCGCATGGCTCTGCTGTAGAGCACTCACTCCGCTCCCGCCCGTGCTCTGGTATCAGTGGAGACCGTTAGTGGCGCTGCGCTGCTCTGTACAATAAAAGCGCTTACTCCTCTCTCTCACACACACACACAGCGTAGTAGTATGAGTGACGACACACATATGAGCGCGGCGGAGGCGAGGGCTCGCAAAGCGCCTGTGTATGCAACCATGAACGTCTATGGTGATGAATAAAGAGCACCTCTCTACTGAACCTCAAGTCGACCTATGGCTGAGCACCTCTCTACTGAACCTCAAGTCGACCTATGGCTGCTTTGCATACTACTCAAGGCTCCCTTTACGAAGAGATGTGCGTGATTTTTTATTCACCATCTTTTTTTTTCATGATTTCATAATTTACCATTGCACATGTTTAACTTTGCAGCTACGCATTAACTTTCAGTTCCATAGTGACTCGTTAGTACAGAGCCCATTTGAAAAATATATGAGAAACTGTTATAATGAAAATAAAGCAAAAAGTGAACAATATAGTATACTGTGAGACAACTAATAAACATTGTTCGCATATCTAGATTCGTTCGTACTGTCCTTCGCCATTGGATACCTTCTTACCTCTCGAACTATAACTTGCAAAATGATTACATCACCTTTTGTAGCTCCTAAGGCTTGTTCACACGTGCGACTCACTTCGGTAACAGGACCATGTTATTCACAAAATGACAGGGACCATGTTAGACCAAAGAAAAGTTGCGGCCAATTGAGGGCTACAAATGGCCCCCTTGGTTGCCGACAGACTGGTTTGGCTCAACCGTGCAGCTAGCTACAATCTTAAAACAGTGAAAAATGACAAATGCGGAAACAGGCCGTCAGTTTATTTTACGGGGCACTAACGACGTAAGCTGACCAGAATTTCGTCAAGGTGGAATTCTGTATGGCGACAGATACAAGTCGCATGCAGGTGCGAGTACGCAGGTGTGAGTATCAGACATCCCGAGTGGCGCCTTCGCTCCCAGTCGCAAGTAGTCCTTCAAATAGTGCTGGTTTGCAGGCGTGAATGGGCCTTTACAACGAATGAATACAGGGACGCGAATAACGAAGATCTTACTCGTGGCTGGTGACCGTCTCGACCGGTCAGCGTTTCTTCTCAATGCCTCCTCGGCGGGGATTGAAGCCGTGGCCACGGGTGAAGGGCTCAACAACGCTTGCGCCAGCTGGCTCGCCATTGCTTGCTGCTGCCCCAGCCTGGACCGGACAGCCTTGGACTCGCCGCTCCCAGCCGCAGTCAACCGTCGCGGCCGACCAGGACCGCCGTCCTCCCGCCTCGTGCTAGGGGCTGGAGAGTCCGCTGCCGCCACAGCCGCCGCAAGCACCTCATTCTCTTTGCCATGCCGCTGCGGCCGAGACGGCCGGACTCTAGACTTGTGTGCAAGCTCGCTCAGTGACATCTCCTCCTCGCTTGAGTGATCGGACTCGCCTTCCTCGCCTGCGGCCGGAGATGACACTGTAAGGCACATTGCTGCCAGGGTGGCAGTTCTCATATCCCGTTCAGGAGTGAGTCATTACTGATTGTCTCCAAATTTGGTTCTAAATGCCACCTTAAGCATAAACTATGATCGACTGTCCAGATATGTGCTCCTCATTTTCCCTTCAAATGTGAATTGCGATAGCGCGTCTCCAAATATTACATTTGCGCAACACAATGCTATGGTACCTGATTTTCTTTCCTGATCCCAGGAAAGAAAATGAAATATGTTGTTTTGTAATCAATACTAATTAGCACCTAATTAAATAATCTTGCAGTCAGTCATGTTATATTGTTTCCGGTGGTATACATCTAGGAAAAAGAAAAAGGATAAGATACTTGGCGTTCCCGTCTTGAAATGCAGCATGCTCACTGAGCTGTCAAAACATTGCAGTGCCTTTACCGAAGTGGCTGGGTGTAGCCATAGAAGTTTAGTAAAGACACAGTGGTTATAAAAAGTTTAATTCATCCTATGCATAGTGTCTGTCACTGTTTCGTGGCCACTAATACAGAGAACTGGAAAAAAAAAATGTTGCATCGACATATGTGGACACTGTGCTTCAAGAGAATATTGCGCATCTAAAGCAACACCGAGTCAAAGCGAGGCATTAGCAAGGTGGGCTGGCTTGCCCTTGGATATTGGACACATAAACGCTACACGGGGTCATTCACAAATGATAGTCACTTTTTTTCAAATGACGCAGCTTTCGAATGACAAGATGCTTTGCGCCGTCTTGGATGCGCTATACCTTCGGGTCTATGAATAACCAAGCTCGCCGTGCTAATCTTAAGTCGCCAATAACTACTTTCCGTGAAGCCCAAGCCGTACACATCAAAGTGTACCATTTTGTATGCCAAGAAACCAGGACAAGAAGAAGAAGAAATTCACCACCCTGTTCACTCCATTGTTGCTTCTTGTATTTTCAAAATGACTGGCGCATTTCATAATCAGCGGTAACCAAGTGGCTCACACAGTGACTGAGTTGTCGAGATAGAACATAAATTTACAAGAAGTGTAAAAAAAATTGAATGTCTGCTTAACCTATTGCTTACATAAAAATCTTTTAATGGTACATCTGTTTGTAAAACATGCAAGATGTACAAAAGGTGGCATATGCAAGAAATAATATCCGAATGTCTCTGTCAAGCAAATTACTGCTTACATGCATGTGAAACCCAGCTAAAGATATAGATTTTCCAATACACTGAAACCCCATTACTACGAAGTGTCATCTTGCCTGAAAATAAGCTCCTTATATCCAAAACTTCGTCATAAAGGTATATTCTTAACACTATATCTCTTAGAGGACTATTTTTCCTTTACTTCGTTATATCGACGATTGAGTGTATTGTACACTTTAAGTGTGTATGTATACATTCCTGGTGTCTTGCAATAGATAGCCAGCTGAAAGCCCGTGTGTTGTGTTTTTTTGCTAAGTCCTGTGGGTTCAGCACTGTCAAGTTCAATAAGCTCTGCTATCGAAATTGGACAAACAAACCACACAAGCTACCTTGCGCTGCCCGCCGCCTCTGATTCCTAAGCCGGCCATCGTCCCCCAGTTCGTCGCCGGGCACACAAACAACCGAAGCTTCAGGACATGTCCGTAGCAATTCTAGGTCAGCCTCGTGTTCTCGCATATGCGGCTCTTCTTCAGAGTCTTTGTGGTTTGTGAGAAGCAGCGACACGGCCAATGGTGAATCACGATTGCTCGCCAGCTCACTCTCATCATCGTCATCATCATCGGGTGGGTCTATCGCCATGTCCAATAGCGTTGACAGCGAGTCAGGCAGCTGTGGCGACCCAATGTGATTGGCGATCACCGATGGGCTCAGCACCGCCAGCTCGCCATCCTCTGCCAAGTCCGCACATACACCCGACAACAATGTGGGCGAAGCAAGCCGCTCTGCAGACAACGGGCCCTTTTCCGCACCACCACACTCCCCTTTGCCATTACTACCTGCCTCAGAGAGGGTCGTCGGCACCACCTCGGCAGACAGCGCCGCGGCGACTCCTCCGCGTGTATCTGCCTCGGTCACAACCACAGAGGATGTCCCCGCCATTGCACACGTTGCCTCACGAGAGTCAAGTTTGATGGGCACTTCTGCTTCCGCTGGCGATTCACAAACACCGCTCACAACTGGCTGCCGCTCCTCTGGCAGCACCGGTAGAGACACATTCACTGACAATGGTGCCATACCGGATGACATCAAAGGGAGAGTTGCCTCAGCACTGGTTGTCACCACAGGCGAGTGTGCCACCGTCGTCATTGCTGTTACTGCGGTGGACATCACCGACTTCATGACCATGTTTGCCATGGATGGGCTGGAGGTCAACAACGAAGTACCAGTGGGCGAATGCACTGCCTTGGTTGATGTTGCCAGCACCCTTGGCTGTTGATGCCATCTTGGAGACGACGAGTCGAATCGGCGGTGACACGGACCTGGTGGCTGCCAAACGTGACGAGCCCCCTTGGGTGGCCGGAGAAGAGATCAACTCGGCCAAGGACGAATTGAGGGCAAGCCCAGAGGCACCCGATGGAAGGGCCAGAAGCTTGATGGGAACTGGCTTCGGCCCACCACTGCCAGAACTGGCCGGCAGGGCCAGCACAGGGTGGCCACTGGTTGAGGACGATGAGGAGGCCGTTGTTGATGCTGTCAGGTTGCCCTTGAAGATGAAAGTGAGCCGCTGCTGTGGATCGTTGCTGGTACCACCACTACTGCTACTGCTGCCAGCGGTGCTCCACATGGAAGGCGAGATCATTTGGCCTCCAGGAACCTGAAAACATAAGCATGTAACAGAAATGATTGCCAGGAGCACAATTCGGCCCGTGTGAGCTTTCTCCGTCCTCTTAAGGTTGGTACAGACTACAAATACAGTTTGCTCGCACTGACTACATTCAAGAAATGAGGATAGTTAGTACATTTCTCAGTACCGTCTAATAATTTTGTGCATAATAAGGAATGTGCATAATAAGGCATAATAAGGCAAACCTAATGAGGCTGATACAATTAATATGCTATGTCAGCATTTCATCAAAGTGGTCAGGTTCATTCTGAAGCAAAGAAGAAGTACAGGACAAACTGAAGTGAAAGCAAATAAAACATTGCTAATTAAGACCTTATAAGTGGGGACCTGCAAATTAAGGCCCTGCTAATGAATATAATACTAATGAAGACCATGGTAACAATCAAGATTAGCCACAAAATACGCTATTATTTCAGCATTGCAGCACTAGTGCAAGCTGCCCATACTTTTTTTCGTTGCAACTGAGAGAACCATACAGTTTCATACCAGTACACTACAGAGAAATCTAGCGTAAAAAGCAAATCTAACATGTGGCACTTCAGCCAGCATGGGAATTTTCGGCTTCATCTGAGCTGCAGCCACATTCTTGCAAGATGAAGTTCAGCGATCCCACACAGCACCTTGACCCTTTTAGGCTGACCAATTCAGAAATGATAAAGCCACAAATGCATTCTGAATCTGCAAGCTTGAAGACCTAGGCAAATCTATGGAGTACTACCCATTTAACATGGTTGTTAAATGATCACAGAGGCCACACTCCCTCCTCCTAAATACCGTATACTTGTGTGAGGGTAGCACTTTTTTTTCCCTCACAATTCTGATTGGGTGTGGCTCTGCAACAGAAGTGTGAAATTTTTGTTGAATTTCCTGTCCACATATAGAAAAAGCTATTTAAATGTGTCATATATATCTGACGATGTGCTATCTGGCATCTAGCTGTGGACATCTTCGCCACCGCTATATGTCTTCATGGGTATCATTGCTCAATGATCCACACGTTCATTAACCAATCGTTCCCAATGAAATCTATGGCACTGGAAATTCTGACGAACTTTTAACTATTCACAATGTCCGTGACTCCCGATATATGCACCATAGGCGAGATGTAACAACACTGCCGTTTGCTAGTAAGATATCTTTATTTCATTATCATCATTGTTTTTGTTTTGTTTTTTTTTCAGAATTTGGACTGCAAAGATGGGGAGAGCAGCCCTTAGTGGAGTGTATGCAGTACTGTAGGAAACCCTATCCAGGGAATGAATGCACACATTCTTACAATGTCCTTCATTCACAAACTGCCGTCGCAACTGACAGTTGATTTCTCAGTACACTTTTACAGAGCCTTACAGTATACAAATTTAACAGACACATAAAAGCAATCGGCAAAAGAGGTAATGACATCTTGCAACATTGACCAGCTACTACTGTCACAATTTTCCATCAATACCTGCCTTATGTGGGTTGTTTCGCGTATATTCACGAACAAGCCAGCGGAATTTCAGCAAATTTGGTAGAAAACTTAATTTATATTTGAAAATATATTGAACATTCATATAAGCATGCGAGCACTGTGGGAGTTGAGCAAGACTGGCACACTTACGAGTGTGACATAACAAGCTGCTTGCACTGCGAGCATCTGCACTCCCGCAAACGATTTAGTTTCGTGGTCAGCAGCATGTGTAATTGAGTAATTACAGCTTGGCATAAACGATCTGAAGCGGCTTTCGTCACATCACATGCCCCACGGCGGAACAGGTGTGCGCCAATTGGTAGGTGGGGTGCTTACAGCCAGCGAACTTATAGGGGTTTTTTCGCACTGAAACATTAATAATCCATTTTTCGTATATGAATAAGCAGGATAGACAGTCTACTTTTATTCTTTGCTCATAATCACATATAGCTGAATGACGTGTCATAGTCCCTTCAAAGCAAGTGAAATGCAGTGAATGTACATTATTTCTTTTTAGGATTAATGAACGACAGGCTCCACACTCACCTGTAACGTGCTTGAAGGCACGTCCGCCAAACTGCAAGTGGGCTGGGGCTGGGTCCTTGGCATTACCTCGGCCATGCCGGATATTGTCGTCGGCCGTGAGGAGTCCCAGGTTGTGGAGGACGAGCAAGAGGAAGAAGGTAGTGTGAAGGAGGAGGAGCAAGAGGATGTGGAGCTCGCCACCACGGCTGCCTCCGCCGTGAGCGAAGGGGTCACTACTGCCTCGGATGGGGTGGCCATCGACTGACTAGAGGCCACCACCACAGCAGTGGTTCCAGGGGAGGAGGACAGTGGTGGAGAGAGAGGAGAGGGTGCGGCAGGTGGCAACGATGCCGACGACGGCCGGTCCGGCGGAATGTTGCTGCAGGGATCTTCGCTCGGTGGCGAGACCGAACTCCCTGGAGGAAAGGAGAATAACTTTTGCTGAGAGAAAGACAAGGAGTTCAGGAGCTAGACGAGTGGGGCCCCGCAACCAAGGCACTCCACTCGCTCATGCTGCCAGCACGGCGTATGCCTGAAGAGTTAGTCGCAAGGCCAGGGTCCGAGTTAGCTAGGAGTGCTCCAAAGAGTTTTCTATCATTTACTTTTTACTATAAGCAATTGAGGTTATAGAGAAGGTGAAACGGAACTGCTCTGCACCATGAACCAGTACTGCACTTCTGTTCACGTCTTTTCGAACCATGGCCAAGGTGGCAAAGCGTAGGTGTCTGTGCAGTGGCCCATCAATTTCTAGAGCACCTACTGATGGCACATTCGAGTGGTTCTTATTGTGCTTCAATTCAACTGTGGCAAATCCTGTCATATGCGAGGCCTTTTTAGGAAGGTTATTAACACCTCTTTTTTTAAACTTCCATCCCTAGGCTGCCTAAGCATCAGACCATTCAATAATTATTCCATGTAAGAAGTTTCAATCCAGCCCATACTGTAATCGCTAAATGCAGCATTACTTATTGTTAGCTATGCTACAAATGTGAACTCCAGGATGTAGACAAACCTGGCGGCACTCAAAGCATAACCTTTCTTGTGTCAAGCTGCCAGATTTTATAAACGGCACTCTCTACCTGCAGTAGAAGCTTCTAAGCAGCTTAGTGACTGAAAAGGGTGCTTGCATTGAAAGACAGGCTAACTGTAAATATTACAAAATATGAGCTCTATGTTGCTAACGAAAGAAAGAGCAAACAAGAAAATAAATATTGAAAAGCAATTGATGTAAAAACGAGCTTCACATATCAGGACTTGCATGTGTATCAATCTGATCCTGAATCACGTCCCCAAGATGGTCGCTTTGCATGGGCACACACTGAACCTCTAAGTACTAAACCTGCAGACGAAGTTATTGAAGAATAATTTTGGGATCAATTCAGTGATATCAATACATGGTTATAACGGATTTTTATATATATAGTGAAGCCATTTTCACGTCAGGTACAACTGGTATAACGAGCCTAACTATAGTACCTTAAATGGGTACTGACACAAAATTTCGGGACCGAGATAGCCTGCGGGGTCGATTCTTGTGAACATTCGTATATCATCTGCAAGATATCAACAGCGAATATAGCTTGGAAGGTTATATAAATTATTTTCAAGTTTGCGTGAGCGACCGACTTCATAGCACTACAGACACCCTCGAAGGTGACCCCGAGGTGACCCCCTACTTCCCTCGAGTCACCATGCTGCGGTCAACAAAACAAGCTATGATGACGTCATAGCTGCCATTTTTCTTTTCAACTTTTTCAAATATTCAACTTTTAACATTACTAGCAAGCATAAACTAGTGTAGACACCTATACAACCTGCTGCAGACATGTGTGAACCTTGCCCACTAAGGCTGATGACAATGGGAAAGACTTATTTAAAAATTACAGAAGCTCTAGCGAAAGGCACTGAAGCTATAAAGAAAGCTTTTTCATTTCAAGCAGCTGTAACTTAGGCTTTACTACCTGGTGTACATAGTACATAAGTGCTTGCACTGTTGCACCTATTGGGTCGTGAACTCTTGCACAACTTCATAGCATTTAGTATAGTGAACAAAAATAAATTTGTCATTGCACAGTACTGTGGCTAAGCTCAATTTAATGTCAACAATGTGAAGTTTCAGAACTAGGGTGCCATAATCTGGGTCTTCTCTACAGCGGGGAAACCACTCACAGGCCGCTGGAGGCCTAGCGCTTTTGTCCACCAGCACTCTGATGCCTGCTACCAAAAGGTTTGGAAGCAGGTCCATAGCAAAGGATATTTTTCGGGTGGGTGGGGGGAGGGGGGCACTTTTTGAGACCTGGATTACACTCAAACCTCATTATAATAAAGTTGCATATTACACGAAAATAAGTGAATAAGATGTGCCTGCAGCAAGCAGCATCGCCAACGCCCCGCTCTTTCGGCTCGTGCTTCGGTTCGTTGCTGTGCCCATCTCTGGACGGTTCTTCATGCTGTCTCGTCGCTGTCCTTAACTGCTAATAAACCTCTTCACATTCGGTGGAGGGTGCTGTTTATCCCCGCCGCTACACCCTGGAGCTGCGAAGCCACACGCTACCGCCCGTCATGACTGACAACGCCACTCCATCGGCGCCTTCGCCCCAGTTCAACTGCCCTGGCCATCCTAGGCTACGGGACCCGAAGGCCTTCAGCGGTGCGGATGGGACCGACGGCGAAGGCTGGCTCTAGCACTACGAACTGGTGAGCGCCAATAATAAGTGGGATGAAGCCGACAAGCTGGGCCACGTCATATTTTATCTCACTGGCGTCACCGAATTGTGGTTTAACAACCACAAACACAACATCTCCACATGGAGCGCCTTCAAGACATCATGTGCAGAAGTGTTCAGTTCGCCGGCTGTCCGCAAGCAGCGGGCAGAACAGCGCTTGTGGGTCCGCTCTCAGCAGACTGGAGAAAGCTTTACCAGATATATTAAGGACGTCGTCGACCTTTGTTGACGTGCGAGTGACACCAAGCCCGAATCTGACAAGGTCAAACACATCCTGAAGGGCATCGACGACGGCGCATTTCAACATTTCAAATGCTCTTGGTTAGGAATTCTAGCACAGTTTCCAAAGTTGTCAGCTTGTGTCAGAGCTACGACGAGTTGAAGAAGCAACGCACTCTGACTCGGCAGCCTCAGCGTCCTGTCCCGTCACTGTCCAGTTTCGACACCATGCCTGACAATTCACCGTCTCTTCAGCAAGTCTGAGCCTTCGTCAGTGAGGAAGTCGCCCGCCAACTTTCCCTAGTGCCCTTTACTCATGAGTCCACAACCCGTCGACATGCCCCGCTTCGCACTGCTATTTCGGAAGAGGTTGCCCAAGCTGTTCCCCTTGCGCTCCACGAGCAGCCTCTATCTAGCTGTGTGCCCGCGTGTCGCGCAGCCGGTAGGCGCTCCTGTCACCTATCCGCCAGCCGTGCAGCCTGCGGCCGTACCCCTAACGTATGCAGCACAGCCTGTGGCTCCTTCTGTCGCCTGTTTGCAAGAGATGCAGCCTGTAGCAGCGCCGCTCACATATGCAGACGCTGTGAGTAGGCTTCCGCAACCGCCCTACACCAGGCGCTCACAGCCCGCACACACGGCTGCTTATACTGCACCTTGGGCGGCACCACCAATCGCCAATCCTTGGAGGACAGCCAATAACAGTTTGATATGCTATACCTGCTTCACTCCCGGACACATTGCCCGCTGCTGCCAATCGCCAATCCTTGGAGGACAGCCAATAACAGTTTGATAAGCTATACCTGCTTCACTCCCGGACACGTTGCCCGCTGCTGCCCCCGTCGACCTCAGACGTTCGGCGACCATGCCCGATCGTCACAACCCGGCAGCCAACCCTTCGCCCAATACGGACCGGTCTTATCACTTCGCTATGCCTCTCCTAAAGAACCCGACTTCGTGACACCGCGCGCACCCTCTCCTCGTCAGCAATTGCCCTCCCCCATGCGTCGCCGGCCCGGACCCTCTGACCAGAAAAACTAAGCACCGCAGTTCAAGAGGCAAGAACTGCGCCTTTTTTGAACTGTCTAAGCCCTCGCCCCTCTCCTGCTAACGTGGTCGCAGTAACTGTTGAAGGTTATTGTACTTTCGCCCTTGTGGACACCGGCGCCGCTGTTTCTGTTATTGCCGCTAATCTCTGCTGTTTATTACGCAAAGTCACGACGCCGCTTTCGGGACTGTCGCTTCACACCGCGCACACAGCAAGTAACGCGTCTTGCAGCCTGCACTGCAAGAGTGTCCCATCGAAGGCATTCTTTACATCGTGGAGTTTACTGTCCTCGCTGTCTGTTCGCATGACGTCATCCTCGGGTGGGACTTCCTATCCCGCCATAATGCCGTCATCGACTGTGCACGCGCTGAAGTTGAGTTTTTACCCTTGTGTGATGTCCCATCACTTGACGCTCTTCATCAGCTGCCGAAGTTGTTCGTGCATGAAGATACCGATATTCCACCTGAAAATTTCGCACTTGTTCCCGTTTCATGCAACGCCTACAGCGACGCTACAGTCTTTTTTTATGCCTTCCGATATCTTCACGAGCTGTCGAGCTCTGTCCTCTACCTTTCGCAACGATTGACCTTGCCGCCGGAAGAAGCAATAGGTTCGTATTCAATCAGCTTTCCACCCCTGTCACTTTGCTTACAGTGGGAATGTTTCGGCCACGTGCAGGATCTCAACCCTTCGTCTTTGGCTGATGTCCCGGATGACTACTGCGACTAGGCACTGTCGGCACTCGAGAAGTCGTCCAAGGATACATTTTCCAGCGCCATCGCCGACACCCTCACTCCCACCAAACATGCTGACCTGCTTGATCTTCTGCATGAGTTCCGGTATTTTTTCCATGTGTCGCAACCTCAACTAGGCCGCACGTCGCAAGTCAAACATCATGTTGACACTGGCCTATACCAGCCACTGCGTCAAAGACCATACAAAGTCTCCACTGAAGAGCGCCGCGTCATCAACGTTTTAAGTCGAAGATATGCTTCCTAGAGACATCATTCGACCATCTCACAGTCCCTGGGCGTCTCCTGTCATCCTGGTGCGTAAGAAAGACGGATCTATCCGATTTTGCGTGTACTATCGTCGTTTGAATAAGATAACCCGCAAGGACGTCTATTCTTCGCCGTGCATTGATCATGCCATTGACACCCTTCACGGAGTGGAATTCTTCTTGTCACTAGATTTCCGGTTCTGGCTACTGGCAAGTTCCAATGGCTGAAAGCGATCGCCAAGAAACTGCATTTATTACACCTGACGGACTATAACAGTTTAACGTCATGCCCTTTGGGCTTTGTAACACGCCTGCCACGTTTGAACGACTTATGGATAATACACTAGGTGGCCTCAAGTGAATATGTGCCTCTGCTACCTCGACGATGTCGCGGTTTTCTCACATGACTTTCCTTATAATTTGATATTGATTGATATGTGGCTTTTAACGTCCTAAAACCACCATATGATTATGAGAGACGCCGTAGTGGAGAGCTCCGGAAATTTCGACCACCTGGGGTTCTTTAACGTGTACCCAAATCTGAGCACACGGGCCTACAACATTTCCGCCTCCATCGGAAATGCAACCGCCGCAGCCGGGATTCGAACCCGCGACCTGCGGGTCAGCAGCCGAGTACCTTAGCCACTAGACCACCGCGGCGGGCTCGCATGACTTTCCTACGCACCTCCTGCGCCTCAGGCACGTTTTGACTTGTCTGACTAATGCTGGCCTGCAGCTTCACCTGAAAAAATGCCGCTTCGCTGCACGTGAGCTCGTCATCCTAGGCCACATTATGTCCAAGCGTGGCGTATTACCTGACCCAGCAAAACTTCAAGCATTTGCAGAATTTTCCAAGCCGACGACCATGAAGGAACTTCGCAGTTTTGTAGGCCTATGCTCTTATTTCCGGCACTTTGTTCGCAATTTTGCATCCATCATGTCACCATTAACCCAGCTTCTTCGCGGTGACGTGAGCCTCTCCTCCTGGTTCCCTGCATGAGACGTTGCCTTCACTACTTTGCCCCGTCTGCTCACCTCCCCACCTATTCTTAGCCCCTTCGACTCGATGGCTCCTACCGAAGTGCACACCAACGCCAGCGGCGTTGGGCTAGGCGCTGTCCTCGCTCAACAAAAGCCCGGCTATTCAGAATACGCTGTAGCCTACGCTAGCCGCACTCTGACAAAAGCCAAAACTAATTACAGCTTGACAGAAAAAGAGCGTTTGGCTCTGGTGTGGGTGCTTGGAAAGTCCCGGCCGCCCGTCCGATCTAGTAACTGATCACCATGCGTTTTGCTGGCTCTCCATGCTGAAACACCCTTCTCGCCGCCTTGCGCAACGGGCACTCCGCATCCAGGAGTACGACATTCGCGTCGTATACCGCTGCAGACGCAAACGCTCCGACGCTGACGCCCTGTCCCGCTCACCTTTACCACCAGATCCGACGTGCGGAAACACTTGCTTCCAGACCTTGTCATCACTAAATCTTGACTCGATTGCCACCGAACAACGCCGTGACCCGTGGATCGCATCTCTTCTCGAATATCTATCCGGCACGCCCAACCTTCCGGTATATCGATCCCTCCAATGTCAAGCTTTCCATTTTGCCATCCGCGATCAACTTCTTCATCGACGTAACTACGCTCCCGATAGCCGCCGGTGGCTAGTGGTCATTCCACGCACTTTACGATCGCAAGTATGCGCCTCTCTTCACGACGATACACAATGTGGCCATGCGGAGAGTTCAAAACATAAGAACGCCTTCGCCATCGCTATTACTGGCGCGGCATGTAGAATTTTGTAAGCAACTTCGTGCAGTGCTGTCCTGACTGCCAGTGACGCAAATCAACACCGCTACGTGCGACTGGCAGATTGCAGACACTTCCATACTCTGCCAAGCCAAAGAGTGCCTCCAGCTCGCCCGTACGTTCACCTCGAACGAGCAGCAACGCCAGAAAGAAAACCGTAGCACCTTCCTTCCGGATCCCAGCTATGCCCCAGGGTCTCTTGTGTGGCTTGCCATCCCATACCAACTCCAGGACTCTCATCGAAACTTGTCCCCCGGTACGAGGGGCCTTCTTACACTGTTTTGGAGGAAACCTCTCCGGTTAATTACTTAATTGAGCCAGTTTCCCGATTGGACGACAGGCACCGGCGTGCACGTGACATCGTCCATGTTTCCCGTCTGAAACAGTATCATGAGCCTCTGCCTGAAACTTCTTAGGTCACCAAAATGGCTCCCTTTTCAGCAGGGGCGATTGTGAAGAAGAAAATGTGCCTGCAGCAAGCAGCATCGCCAACGCCCGGCTGGTGCTTCGGTTCGTTGCTGTGCCGATCTCTGGACGGTTCTTCACGCTGTCTCGTCGCTATCCTTAACGCCTAATAAACCTCTTCACAGTTTGTTATATACAAAAGTTCATTATAAAGGTTTATTCTGAACACTTTATTGCAAGACTACTTCTATATACTTGGTTATAACCGATATTTCATTATATCTAGCTTTGTTATATCGAGGTTTAAGTGTATTTTAAAAAAATAGATATTTTTATTATTTTTGGTAAAACACGCTTCCTCACATGAATTTAGGGGGAGGGAAGGAGCCTAGCCCCCACACCTCGGCTACGGGCCTGCCTGCAGAGGAACACCTTGAAAACAATTCTTCCAAACCCTACCACTTTTCAGCTCAATTACTGCTCAGCACCCAGCTTTTACTTGCGATGCACTGAAAGAGAGCTGTACTAAAAAGGCAGCTTTATCCCCAGTGTCGAGTGTGTGAAAAGGAGATCATAAAGCCAACTAACAGAGCTGCCACCTGAAGAACCAGCTTCATGGAATGGAGGTGGGTGATGGAAGGCCATTCAAGTGCTTCGCTAGAGTACAGGCGTTTACTTCTTTGCTGCGAGCATTCACATCCTTGAAAATAGAACCCAGCACAGCAGCACCAACTAGTTAACATGCAAGAGCTGGTCGAAGCCAGCAAATTACATGGTTACAGTGGTAACAGATGGTATTTACTTCGCTGTTTGCTTTCAGCTCTTAAATTTCACCAAAGGTGATGTTATTGCGGTATGCTTTACCTCTGCAACAGAAGCCAGTTGGCCAGGCTATCTGTAGCGCTCCTTGACAAAAGGCAAAATGGCATTACCTCTTTCCTCAGACAGGGCCGAGCTTGCCTCCTCCTCCTCACCGCTTTTGTCACCATCCGTGTCGCTGGGGCCTAAAAGGTCACGTGGTAGCGGCTCGTGGTTTGAGTCCGGCGACACACCCTCCCCGTTCTCCTCGGCCCTCCCTGTGGTCGTCACACCATTGTCACTGCCGACCACTGCAACAAAATCCACACTGCCGTTGGTCGCAGAGTCGCAAAGGCCACGAGACAGTGGCAGTTCTGAAAACCCGTCCGACCTGGACACAATTGCACTTGCCGCAGATAGCGTCTGTGATGTTGCACTTGCCGACAGTGATGCTGCCGCCACTAGGGACGTCGTTGATGGCCCGTTTGGGACAAGGTCGTCAGAGTCTAGGCTAGACTCCGCATCTATCGTCGAGTCGCACTCATTCTGCAGTGGCGATGACGACGCGATGCCGTTGGTCTTTGCGGCCACGCTCGACGCCAATGCCTCCACCCTCGGCTGCAACGTTCCTGTGGCTGGGACCGCAGAAGCTGCAGTGGTTGCGGCAAAGCCCGCTCCAAACCTGAGCCGGTTCATGCGCACGATGCCGGGCTTGAGGACGGAATTAGCTGTTGTGCAGTGGAAGTGGTGGTGCGGGTGGTGGTGGGTGGCGGCAGCATACTCTTGGCGAAGCATCACGTCACCACGAAACGTTCCGCCACCACCGCCAGTTGAAATTAGCAGGGGCATTCTGTGGTTTCCACCTACCAGGCCACCCAGTTTGAGCGCCGCGGGCACGTCTACGTCTGACACCTCGAAAACGGGACCGCCAAACGTGGCCTTCTTAGTTGCGACGGCATCCAGGGAGATGATCCGCGCCATAGGTGTCGGAGACAGCCTCCGCTCAGCCATCTCGCGGAGCTCGTCGACCCCGTCGCCCTTGGTCGAGCCGATGTGGTTGGCGATGGGTCCGTCGACGCAGTTGGCGAGGGGCTTCTTCTCTATTGCACTCGTCATTGCCACTGTTGTCATCGTCTTGGCCAGGGAGGACGGGGAAGCACGGCAGGGGCTGGGTGATCGCTGCTCTTCCTCGTCAGTGTGCAGCACGCCATTCGTCTCAGGCGTTGGAACACTCCTGGGCCTAGGTGTCGTCCGGTGTGGCGTTGTGTGGCACTCGAGGGCTCCCAAGGCACTGTTTGTGGCAGGTTCGTTGTTGCCAGCTTGACGCGGCGGAATTGCCACGGTCGTCGCTACCGTCATTGTCGTTGCCGACGTGGCAGCGACGCTGTCGTTGTCCGCAGACCGCAGGGCGTGAGGTAGATCGGGACGGTCCCGCAGCGGGCTGGAACCATCTGTGAGATGATGAGAGAGAGAATTCAAAAACAGACACTGTAAGCAAATGAACAAGGGGGGAAAGGTGGGCTGGTTGGTACTTATCACAAGAAAGCAATTAACAGCACACATGAGATAAAAAAAAAAACACAAGCACTGCAAGAAAGCTGCAATCATTCCCGAGATAGTGCAACTTCCAAGCTCCTGAAGCTGCAAGAGGCTGAAAAATCATGCCGCACCAATACTTCGATAACTATATGGAAGCTCGAATATACTGCGCTCTACGTGGTTCTCAAACAGGCACTTAAGGTCAGTGAACTGTGCCCATTTCAAACGCTGGAAGAGTGCCTGACGTCCCAACCATTGCAATCATTAGGTAGCAGACTTATCACAAGTTCTGCAGCTTTACACAACAGGGTGGCAGGCCAAGCACACATATATGTGCAAAAAAAAACCAACTAAATACATAAATAACCACACTGTAAATTCGTGTTCTTTTGCCTGAATGAACCCAATCTAAAATGTAACTTACCAAAATGTATAAATGCAAAAATTTTGCTCATTTTGCTCATTGGTGAGTACTTTTCATCATAAAATGTGCTAAATGTGGCAGTTACACCAGCTATAATAAGTAACTAATAAACTTCTGAACCAGGGCCATAACCAGAGGGGAGTTGAGAGATTCAAAAACCCCTCAAATTATTTTAATGCTTCAACTTTTCGAGTGATACTAAAGTATTGACACGCCTTCACATCGACCACCAGTTGCCAAAGTTAGCTGTTCTACACAACCTCCCCCCTGAAAAAATTTTCGCAGTGCAGCCCTGTTTTGAACTGAGTGGAGCACTGGCATTCAGGCACATAACTAGAATAAATGCAATGAAATAAATATTAGGGAAGTAGCAGTTGAAAAGACTTTATACAAAGTGAGAACTGCCCATTTGGTCTAAATTTACAAGCAAGATAAGCTGTGAACTAAAAAAAAAAAACTTTACATCAACTTCTTTTACCTTAGTCAACTGCAGACATCTAGATTTGAGAAGTGTGTGTGAAATTTCATCTCAAACTACAGATTAAAAAAGAAAAAGTGACCAAAGTATGCATTAGTGGAGCTGGAAAAAAATTTTGTTTGAAAATCACACCCACCTACTGGCCAGTTTTTTTTTACTTTAAATTACAAATGTTCAGTAAGTACAAATATATGAATTAAAAAATGTTACAGGAAACAAAAAAAAATTAGTATACTGCACAATGTTTATATACAAGTAAAATAACTTATTCTGATAATTAATGCAATGTAGTACTGGATGTGTTGGGAAGCGCACCGCTGGAACTCTCAAAGCTTCCTATAATAGAGCCCTCTTTTTAGAGCATGCATTGAAGAATTTAACTAATTTGAATAATGAATATATTCCAGTGGATTGGGCACTAGAATTGAATAAAACAAGTTATTTTTTATTTGTTTTAATCATTAAAATTAAACATTAAAGGTGTGTACACCCTATCAATACTATACTGATAACTAAAACAAATTGTTCTTGTTTTTAAAGCTTAGTGTTGCCAAGGTTTATGTGCAAGCAATCCATCATCATCATGAAATTGGCTACTGGCCAGAATTACAGACTTTCTGTAGGCAGTACTTTGGTTTTCACTGTCTTCAATATTCACAGAATAGAGTTACCTACATGTTGTGTACCAGTCAGTTTCTGCTCATGTTTTAGCGCTATGCTTTGTTGTGCAAGATTTGAACTGTGCCGCTACTGCACAGCAACAATCAGTTCCTCCTCGGCAAATACGGCTACATTCATAAGAAATACTGCTACATATGGCTACATTCATATTCTGGCACATATGGTATTCAATGCTGATGCTTACCAGCTTTTTGAGCTAAGGCCCACACTCTGATAACGGCTTATTTACCAATTTCATTATATTTAGCTGTGTGGTGCTCGGTTTGAAATGGTTTAATTATTATGTCTATGTTTAAGGGTGTACGACTATGAACAAAAAACAGTGTTGGCAAAACAACACTATCAATCTACAATACACATCATGAGAAGGAGGGGACCAGGCCTGTTTCCAGCTTAAAGAGTGCAATTTTCGCCCATATTCACATGAATACCAACAGATGCAAGTGTTGTGTTTGTGCAAGTTGTCGACAGTATTTAGCACTTACATTTGCCTGCATTCATTACCAAGGCCATGCTATAAACACTGGTTTATCGACTACTGAAGTCACTGCTGTATACGGGATCACAGGAGTTTACATAATTGTGCAATTTGTTAATTAAATTAACCGTATTGTGGCTTTCTCAAAGGATCTGAATGCTTGTTTTGCACGATATGTCATGAAATTCTGAAGCTGTTTTAACAATGGCTACCTTTCTATTAAAAACCTATTCAGACAGTATCAGATTCCGGTCATAACTAATCAGCTCATTTCCGATTCAGTCCTAACTTAGCTTTTTGTGCACCCCTGGCAGATACGAATGTTCTGGCTTCCCTATCACAGCTGTAAAGTTCACACTGGTGATAATGATGTGGTCTGCACAGCACCTCGCTTCGACAGCATACTGTGTTTGTCTCCTTTTGTGTTGACCACTAGCGGTCCTTTGCACACAGCACAATCCAAGGATCATTATTCAAGTTTGATGACAACATGCATTCTTGTCACGAGCAGCAAACAGGTCAAAACCAAGTTTATCACACTAACGAGGTCTGCATTATTGCTTTAACTCTCTCTTACACACACAGACATATTATATATAAAGATACTAAAATGCTAAAAAGTCTTGATCAATCAAGTTTACATAAAAAACCTCCACACTACACAAAGAAACTGACATTTGTGATTCAATGACCCACAGTATTTTCTCAGTTGAAACAACACAAAACTCTATTAAAATCTATGCAGGGTTCGTACAGGCTTGAAAAGCGAAAATTCAAGGATCTTCAAGGACTTTCCAGGACCTTGTTGCAAGTTTTTCAAGGACTCAAACCAGCATGCTAAGTTTGAATTTCTCACTCTAAAATTTTCAAAAATTACCAATTTTATTGCACTTACAATGTATGGATATCGCATTTATAAAAAAAGAGTGTAGTCTTGTAACTTCTCCCATCCTCTCCATAGGACAGGGCACGATGTCATGTCGGGAAGTTATGAGCTGATGGGCTTCAACGGACATGTGCAGTCAGGCCTTAAAGGGGTCGTGCCACAGTATTTATGGCTTGCACGCTCTTTGCTGCAAGCTTGAATTATAGCTACAATAAGCACAATACACCCACCAATATTCATTTATTCTCGCTATATAATTTGCCGCCTTTTTGATATGGACAATTTTCAGTTCCTGTTTGTGGGGACCGAGTTGTGCAGGTACATAGCAGTGTAGCTGACTTAGCCAAGTGATTCCAAAGCTTTGCGCATTTCATGCCGAGTATTGTCAGCTCTTGCACAGGTGCCACACAAGCACTTGCAAAACAAACTTGCCGCTACCTGCAGCAGCCGCGATTCTTTCCAGTATGTACGGGGCGGAAGTCCGGAGGCCATTCAGCTGACTACAGGTATGGTGTGACATCACTAGAACTTTTGTAGCCCTTCCTGTAGAGCTAGGCGAGTGCTGGACGTGTTCCTGATAGGTCTCGATTAGAAGGAGCATATAGGTACACTTTGGAAGCGACTTAAAATATATTTTTAAACACACATGGTGCTTGCTACAGCCTTAAAATTTGACGGCATCATACCATCAAGAATGCCAGCTTGTGCACAGTTGACACTCGTAGCACGTTGCTCAACAACTAAGAAGTAACAACTGGGACAGTGGTTAATTTACACTAATCCTGTGGATACAAGTGTGTTCTTTTCTAAGACCGTTCTTGATTTGTTTTAGCAACCCGCTTCCAGTGTCGAGCTACGACAGTAGTTCACCAGCACTCGTCCTCTGCACTTTCTTTTCGTGCGTCTGTGCCTGAGAGGTGCAACGCACGTATAGGATTGCTTGCACTTTTTCGTGTGACATTCTAATTTCTTGCTATCACAATCAATGCTTCACCCTCGCCAGAAACTAACTGTTTTTTTCACATGCACTTTTGCGAAATGGGATCATGTGCAACCACGCCGCATTGATACTTCAGAAATGAGGAGTTTGACAGGTTCACACCAATGTACCATATTTAGAAGGTCGTGATGTCGATATGACAGTGCACTGCTCAGGAAATTCAAGGACTTTCAAGAATGGCAAAAAATTTTCAGGACTTTCAGGGGCCTTGAAAATTCACTTTGGAAATTCAAGGGTTTTCAAGGATTTCAAGGACCTGTACGAACCCTGCTATGGGAAAAAAAAAAGCCACACCACTCTCGCCAAAAATCGTTTTAATAAATGTACCAGGATGCTTATAAAGCACCACGGTGCCGAAAGAAAAAAAACAATAAAAGACACAGCCGCCATCCCCCTCCCCCTAAAATTGTTTTAATCAAGGTACGACTTGCCATGATTGCAGAGAAGAAAAAGATCAAAACAGAGGCACACACCCCTAAAATGTTTTAATCAAGATACGACTCGCCCTGTGCCAAGAAAAAAAGAAAGAACAAAAGCAGAACCACCCCCCCCATAAAATTGCTTTAATCAGGGTATGACTCACTATGGCACTAATGGATACACTGTCACCCCTCGGCAGACGCCTCTGTACAGAGTTACACTATCAGGGGTGAGAACCAATTGTCAGCCGACAGCTTGGAGACACACAATACACAGCCTACTTTGCCATTAGTTATGCACGTCATGTACACCGTTCTCCACATGACTTGTTTCTGAAATCCTCTCCCTTTCCTAGTCATTCCAGTCAGTAATCGTTTCAACAGTGCAACACCTTAATAAAAAAAAAAGAGAGGAAAAAAAAAGCCCTGCATAGTTGAATAAAGAGTGCCCCGTCGTTCGACAGCACCACATAAAATCTTGCATAATAAAAGTTCGAGTTTTTTTAGACGTTTCAAATATGCATCCGTATGCTTTTCCAATACCCCTTAATGTTCCCCTAAACAACCACCAACAACTTTTCAAAGGGCCAGTAAACGACTCGGACTTCTACACCTCCCCCCTGACGAGCTCACAAAATTCATACAGTAAACCACTGAAATCACATTTTGAGAATATCACAGCACTCCCTACGCTTCTTTCCTAAGCCTGTCCTATCTTCCTCGTAGATGCAGTGGCAAAATCTTGCCCATGGGTAACGTTACGCACCCCGGAGCTTGTCGATTGGTCCTTTGCACTACAAAATGTCCCAGTGACCCAGTAACGCAGTTTTGGATAGACAGGCCACATTTTCATTTTCGTGTGCCGCCCTCTGTCATTTTGTAGGGCTCGAGACTACCTGGAGATGCAGTATTGCCTGAAGGAAAGGGTCCGAGATGGAGAGGTGTCTTGCCCCTTTACCACTAGGGGAAGGGTGCACACCTCACCAGTGCCCCGCACTCCTCACACCGTGCTCCCTTTTATCACTGCTATAACAATGGCACAGGCGGGAGAAATATTGCCCGATCGTTGGCTGCGTGCCGATGACATATCCCCGACAACGGGCTATGCAGGCGTAGTGGGTGAAGTCGTGAAAAAGGGCTACGCTTTCCTCTATCCACAGCAAAAAAAGGGTGGGAAGGATGAGCCAGAAACTGAAACTAGCAAAAGAGAGCCATTCTGAACCTTGTCACTTCTTTATTGCAGCACCTATTTGTGAAGTTCTTGTGGCAGTGTGCTTACATTGTATAGGTGTGCAGTTATTTCAACACTAGAAATTTTCAACCACAATGCTTTTTACTGGCTCTTTCACATTTTAAGTGACCCTGCGTCGTGCTACGAGTGGAGGTTGCAAATTCAAAGAAACATTCTCTTGGCCTTTTGGTAAACCTCGACCCCTCAGCGGTTGACATAACACCAACATGGTTGTCGGCTCATGCTATTCACGAAAACAATCTGCCAGCATGCTCACCCCTCTTCCTCCTCACTCGGTGAGGAGGAAGAGGGAGCACTCGACGAAGAAATGAGACGAGCAGACGACTGGGAAAAACTGAAACGAGCGAGGAACTCTTGCGGATCATCAACTCCATTATTATGGCACAGTGTCGAAAACTTTTCGTAGCTACATGTTCGCTGTACACTTGTGCACAACTATATTTCCACCTCTGGTTGATTTAGAGGCCCTTCAAGTTTTATTTTACCCGATGCTATTTCTCATCTAACACTGTACACTTAACGAATCATTTGCGTTTAAAATTGCAGAGACGTGTAAAGGTGATAACAAGGAGGGCCACACACATTGCAAGTTAGGCACCCGCGTGTCTTCTTCGTCATCCTTCTCTTCGAAGTGTCTGCGCTAACTGTTGAAGATGTGTCGAACCAAAAATGCCAGAAGTCAGCTTCTTCGTTTGTCTACTAACAATTTCCTCGGCAATGTCATGTGACCTTGAGAGTAACCTTAAATAAATAAATAAACAGTATGCAAGAGCAAATGTGACACTTCTTCAGAGGAAGCGAACACCTATACAGAGAATTTTACAGATGACTAGTCTGCGTTGGTTCATTGTTAACAGCAGCGCGAGAGAATCACAATGGACAGAGACAAGTGAACATGCACTGTCTCTAGATCACGCTGCAGTGTAACAATGATTCAGGAATATTTTGTACTTTCATTGGTGGGCTCTGAGGTGACCTATGATTTGAAAACGTACTTCCACCAAGGAGTTTCACGGACAGCCGCATGAGAAACGCAGTTCTCACCGCTAACGGAGGAGTCTGCCTCTGGCCCCAGCGAGGTGGCAGACCAGTGGGGTTTTGTACTCTGTGCGCAGGAGGAAGAGGCGGATGAGGGCGACGAAGAAGAAGGCGAAGAGGAAGAAGAAGAAGGCGACGGCAGAGTCCTCCGGGTGCTGCCGGCTCCCATTGGGTGCTGCAGTTGCAGCGGCGTCAGCACAACTGTCGGCGACATGGACACGGGCACTCGCACGATGCCACCGCCGGACAGCAAGCTAAGCTCCCGCGTCCGCTCAGCTCCCTTGTCAGCCCGAGCCCTGGCCCCGCGGTAGCCCCTCCGAGCGTCGTTGCCGCCCCCACCACTTTCCGCACCATTGCTTGACCGTGGGGATCGTGGCGGTCGCTTCTTGGGGACTGCCTCTGGTTTCCGCGGGCTCACCACCACCGCCACGTTCGGGCCACGCAGGGAGATGTGCAGTGGCGGAACCCGGGGAGGCTCGCCCTGCGGCGAAGGTGGTGAAGACGCCTCTATCTCCGTTTTCACGGGGCAGGTCCTCTTAGAGTCGAGCTTTAGCCTCAGCTTGAGCTTCTCGCCTTCTGTCGGCGGCAAAGACACACGAGACACCTCCTCGCGTATAGGTGGCTCAGGGTCGTTTGAGGACTGCGAAGATGTTGACTTTCCGATGCCGGAGTCCGTGTCCGAAGATGGGTTGCCTGGATCCTTGCCACCGGAGCTTCCATCGGAGAGGCTGCGCTCCGAGTGGCCTCCATTCTCGGAAGACTCCGAGGTCTCGAGGTCCCGAACAGCCGGTTCGTCGTCCTCTTCGTCAGAAGGCATGGGTTCCAGGTGGCCCGTGAAAGGGTTGATGAGGTGAGTGGTCGTGCGACTCTCGACAGCAGCGGGGGGTGAAGGAGGAGCCACGGAAACTGTCGCCGTTGGTGGCGCCGCACGGGGTGGTGAGGCGGGAATGTGGGAGGACAGGGGGTAGCTGCGGCTGCCAAGAACGTTAGCAATGTCGCAGCTCGGGCTCATGGGGGGTGGCGAAGCAGGCGAACCGGGTGGGGAACAGCCCTCTTTGCCCCGGCTGCTTTTCGTGGGCCTGCGCTTCCTCTTTGTCGGCTGGCCCGTGTCCAGAGGTGGAGGCATCATCGTCTTCTGCGGGCCACTGGACCCCGTTTCGCTCTGGAGTAGGTTCACCAGCAGCGGACTAGACAGTGCCACGTTGCCGCGCGTTGCATTGCCGAGCCGCTGCGCTGCCCCAAGTGCCGCGGCTAGAGGAGGTGAGGGTGAGAATGGAAACCTGCTCCCGCTTGTCGTCGTGGCTACTGCCGCTGCGGCGGCCGCCGCGCTGTTCTGCTTCATGGAGTGAGTCATGCTTGCGAAGGGAAACGGCGGACGTGTCTTGGCGCTGGGCCGCACCAGTCGCGACGAGCCACTCGAAAGAAATGGCAGCGGTTCCCGCGGTGGCGGGGCGACTACGTTGGGAGAGCGAAAGGCACTGCCGCTGCTGCCGCTGGTTGAAGTGGCCGCTGCAGCTGCAAAGGCGGGACTCCTAGCCTGGATAGAGGGAGGCTCTGCAGGCGTAGTGGTGGCAGAAGAGGAGCCTGCACGACTGGATGCAGCTGCGGAAAGAGCTGGGGATGATGATGGCACTCCAGACACGTGCGGCGACGCCTGTGAGCCCTGCTCACTACCCTCTTCCGCCGCCTTCTGGATGATGATTTCCTTCGGTGGCTCCCCATAACGACCAGCAAGCGTAAGGCTGATGATCTGCACACAGGAATGACAAGAGGAGATCAGATTCTGCAACTTGAACTGTACTCAACAACCCCCCCCCCCCCCCCCAAAAAAAAAAAAAAAAAAAAAAAAAAAAACAGATGTGTGATCATGAAGGGTGACCCTGAGGCAAGCCTCTGCATAGTGACTAAGTGAAAAGCACAAAAGAAGCAGGACAAAAGAAAGAATGTACACGAGACAAGCACCAACTTCGAACCAGCATTCATTCAGAATCGTGCATGTGCTTGAAACTAATGTAAATTGAGGTTTGAAGTCGGTGCCTGTCTAGCGTACCTTCTTTCATTTGCCCCGATTATTATATCCTTTTCAGTAAGTCACTATGCAACTTCATTAACTTGCCTCACTTGTCTGGAGCATTCATTCCTTCCTCCCACCACTGACCAATATTGTATACTCTTTTTTACCACTGTACTTCAGCACTGCCAAAGCTACGGGGTGGGTGTAAGAAAGAGTCACGTTGTGCAGCTAAACATAGTCCCAGATATAAGTGCCTCAAAATTGGCAGGGTGGGCTGAAATTGGCGTTTGTCACATCAATATGTTGTACGTTTATTTTTCTTCACATTTATTTCATATGCATTTAATTATCCCAGTCGCTTATCGCCGGTAACTGTGCTTAAAAATTAACATGGCAGCACCCATGCAGAAGTGACCGCCCACTGCGCTGAAAGCAATACACAAATGGTGAAATCAGCCATCAATTAGTTTCATCTTACTGTGAGGATAAAGCATCAGGTACGTGTTGTTATTAGCGAGATATGCTACTTGCTTAGCCGCACCTGCTAAACCTAATGCATTGAGGTTGTGCTCGAGCCATGTCGCCAGACCAAGAACGCTGCTTCTCCAAATATCAGACATGCAACCTGGGACAGCATACCGCATGCGACGGAATTTCCTACGGTGGACACAAAAAAAGTACCTTGCAAAAATGAGAGAAAGGGAGCGTTGCAGTGGCAGACGCAAAGGAATGCGTTGATGGAGAAGCAATCATACGAAAGCAACAAACAGCATTAGAGAGAAACAGTGACCATCCGTCTTCCTTATTTAATAAGTTGAGCGTTCAGATTCAAGTACAGTTTGTCCTAAATTGAAACAATTGCACCTTTCCAATTGTTTACTATCTAGTCACCGATGTGACACATTCATACCACACAAACAGCATTTTGTGAGTCTCCGCAATGCTACATCTCCAAGTTACCAAATTTTTTGAGAGACAAAATTGCTGGCCAAAATTAGTTGCTTGCTTTAATGCTTTAGTGTATTTTCAAGTTAACAAACCAGCCATATCAACCGCAAAGAGCGCGTATACACAATTTGGCGAGCATATGCCACGAAGATGGTGAGCAGACGACACGGCGCGGATGAATACATGTGGAGGGGCTAATCGCCCTTTTTATTGGCTGAGGGGCCCTGTAGACTCTAAAGTGCTGAAGGGAACTTCTGAAACAAAAGTATTGCTCTTTATTAATGTGCAGGATAGCTTAAATCTTTTCTCAACGAAAAATCTCTTAGGGTGTCCCATCTGGTCTGACCCTCCATAGAGAGGACCCGAAAGCAAGCGAGGGATTAGGAGAACTGTATGGCCCTATGGTAACCTGGTAATGTAAGCATAACGTTCTACTAATTCAGCTTAGTGTGTTAAAGTTTAGAGCAATTTACTGATAACGTACGCTGAATTATCAGACATGTCACACTAGAAACCAACAGGCCAAACTATTGTTTCTGGCCTACTACGTATCTAGGGTTCTTTCTTGAATTCTTCAACAGGCACCTAAACCTAAGTACACAGGTCCTTTTAGTCTTTCCGATGAAAATATGGCTCTTGCAGCAAAAAATTTATCTCATAGCCTTCAGCTTGCTAGTGCCATAATCAAGTGGTCAAGCCGTTTTTGGTGGCGAAGGCAAGAACGAGTGCAAGCAAACAAATAATCAAGCATGCGTGGAACAGTCACAAGTGCTCACCTGATCTCCCTCAACCTGGACCGAGAGGATGCCCAGTTCTCGGAGTGCCCGGTCGCCACGCTGGGCCAGCTGCCGCAGCCGTAACGCCGCATCACGGGGGAGTGTGAACGTCACCCGCACGCTGTTCCACGGCTCCACCTTCTTCACCCACAACGGCTGCTCCTCTGCATTTAACGACATCGACCATAACTGTCAGCCACCACTTACCGCACGCATCAAACCAGAACACACAGAGGCCGAGGCTCTGATCCCAGAGCGACATAGGTGAGCACAACATCAAAGAGTTTCCTATAAGTACACTGGACAGAGCTCTTGCGCTAGTGTCTATGGGAGCTGCAACGCACGGTGCTTCTGCCAGCATGGGAATAATGGGCAATACGCGTACTTGCCTAGTCCTCGTTCTTTCGGCTCCGGTTAGCTCCGTGTGACCTGTATCTGCTTAGCCGCAATACAAAGGTCGGCAAAGGTTTAGCAGTTACGCCCCACCATCTGAAATTTTTTTAGGCTCACAAATTCAAATCGGCTCACGCAGTTCACAATGGTCCATTCTTTTATTCGAAACAAGACCAAAACACAGCAATAAACGAAGGCACTTGTGCGTTCGGAGCCTGCAAGTACGAAGACTAGGCAAGACTAGGCAAATTTGTGTACTACCCATCTACGCCTGACATAACGTAATGTCGCTACAAAGTTTATTTAAGGACACAGGTTAGGCTAAAATGTTTGGTGACAACCGAAAACGTTTTTTTTTTTTTTGCTTATTTGTAATAAGGCCTTGCTTAACAATAACCAGTGCCTCACACATTTTTGCGCCCTTTGATTGAGCCAGAAGGGCCATGTTTCTGAGCCTAACTGACGAGCAGCCCAACCCCTTTTTCTAAAATGGTGCACAACCTGAGCTTTTTGCGTTAAGGAAATTTCTTTTTAAAAAGTATGGTAGAATAAATGGTATATGTCAGTTAGCGCAATATCTTAGAAACAGCTGCAACTATTTTAAAAACAGCTACAACTATTCCTATAATATTTTACATGCTCATAAAAAATGCCACTGGGTATCAAGTGACATCATTTTTCTATGCATAGGTGGCTTATCCTATTTTTGCCCACTTCCAAATTTTAAAGGGGGTGCACTTATTCAATGTACCTTTCTCTGCAAGTACCGAAAGGAATGTAACCATATTCAGGCGTGTTGCTGTAGAGACTTTTAAGTTACATCTGAACTAAAAAGATATTGCATTTTAAAGAAGATTTTGTAAAAAAAAATTAAAATACTGCTTGTACAATGCCACGGAGGGTATATCTGTGTAATTTTTTTGCAGCTTCACTTTTTATAAAATCCACAATTCTTTTTTTAGTTCAGATTGTTTCTAACTTGTTGTAGCTCACACATACAAAGTGTAATCAAAATCGATTCAATACGTTTTGAGAAAAGGTACACCAAAGTTGAAAAATATACAGAAAACACAATTTGAGAAAAATGAAGTTTTGCGTGTGCATACCGCTTACTCCAGACCGCGCGCGGCCCACTTCGGTGCAACATTTAAACCACTTGGAGCGGCCGCTAGACGTAGGGCATTACGCAGGTTTGTTCTTCAGAGTACAGTAGACTTTTCGTTGTCAAAATTGCAGATGTGATTTTTTGGGGGGTTTACCCCACCATACCCCCGTTGAATATCAATAACTATAGTTTCACTGACCTTAACAGGCTTAAGAAAAAAGTGTTCCGACTATATTGGGACACGCATGACATTTACCAGAGTTTGTTGGCTTTATGTGTGCGAGACATTCATGAAGACACGGTTCTGTACATTTATGCCGAGCCTTTGCACCAGCAAGATACTTTTGTGATGATGAATAAAGGTAACTCTCTAGAAATCACAGAATAATTAGAAATGGACACGTTCGGCTACAAACGAAAATTAGACTAGGCGCACTTTTGCGAGCACTTTAGCAAGTAAGCTTTGTCCTCATTACGCATCGCCGCAACATCAAAATGTTACCCGTAATGAAAATGAACATGCTTTGATTGATGTGAAGGTTCTACAAATCATGATTAGGAGTATATATGCCTGCCCAAAATGCAGAGGAACCGTGGCACACGTACAGAATACAATGCGCTGTGCTCTTTAGAATGGAAACCCTCAGAACTGCCACACGTTTGAAATCGTTCTAACTTTCCAAAAAGACCTGCATGGCTCTAGCAAATATTTTCAGGGCCATCTGACATACTACTGAGGCACAACGCTGCTGTACGGTTGGGCGAGATTAACCGCTATCAAGAGTATTTGGACATTAGAAAGACAGATGATATGACAGAACAAGCCAAAAAACAAAGAAAACAAAAAAAAAAGTGAGAAGCTGATACGTGTGACTATATGGAACACTGCTATTGTTCAGTATATCTTTCTGAACAAAATATAAAATAAACTTGTTTTTGCTCCTTAACTCCCAATATTTCAAAATGAATTATTATTTTTACTACACTTGCCCCATGTTCAAGATAACTTGAAAGCACAGAAAACCCGATTTTTTTACCAGAATAAACTAAGCATAAATACAAAGCTTCTGAACTAGAATAAAATGGTGCAATTATGCAGGATAGTTTTCATGTTTTTTGGAGCTCTTTATAAAGAATAATGACAAAAATTACTTGTTTGACTAAAAGAAATTGCAAAAACGCCAGCACATGAGGTACATACACCCAGATATACAAATTATCACTTATAATGAAGTAAATGAAAGATAGCTCTGACACAGACAGAGTGCTACAAATGTATGTTTATAACAAACTTTTGGATATAACGAAGTATTTTTGTAATGAGCAGGTTTGAGTGTAATTCTAGTTCCATTGCAAGAAGAGAACGACAAATAAAATGAAACAAACCCGAATGTTATACATAAAGTAGTTTAGGAGAAAATGATTCTTGAAGAAGATTTAAAACAGAACGAAGATACAGGGAATCTATTTTCATGATGTCTACTTCGTGAACATGTTCGATTCGGCCTACCGTATAAACCGAAATATAAATCGAGATTTTTTCAATAAAATAATAAGCTAAAGTCGCCCCTCGTCTTACATAGCGGTGTCTAGCCGAAAGTGCGACGCTGTCTGGCAAAATATGTCTTGCATGTGCTTGTGAAGCCAGACGCGGCCATATCCGCATCCAAATCCAATCGCAGTCTGTTTTTTTTTTGTGTTCGTGATTTGCTTCCGATCTGTTCCGAGTTTTCGCTTCGTTTGACATTGCGCTGGATTTTTAGTGGCCTTTTTTTTTTCGTTCACTGAATATGTCTAGCGGTGCGAGGAGGCAGTAGTCAGCTGCGTTTAAACTAGGTGTTGTTAAGTTCGCAGAAGCGAACGGGAATATGGCTGCTCAGCGCCGCTTTGGTGTATCAGAAAAAAGCGTGCGCTATTGGAGGGCGCAGAAAAGAGATCAGCAGATGTGCAATCCTCAAAAAATGTCGTTTCGTGGACGAAGTGCCGTTCATCCGCATCTGGAGGATAAGCTAGCGGACTTTGTGCGGGAAGTTCGTGCGTGCTCGCTGCCAGTGACCGTGGATACCATTCGCAACAAAGCCCTGGAACTCGCTCGGGAAGGTGGGCTCACGAGGGAAGAGTTTCGTGCACCGAACTCTTGGGTGCGTCGATTTATGCGACGCAAAGGATGTTCTTTCTGGCGGCGCACATATATCTGTCAAAAGTTGCCGGAGGAGTTTGAGGACAAGCTCATAAACTTTCAGCGCTTCGTAAACCGGCTTCGGGACCAGAACGACTACATGATGGGGCAGATTGGCAACGCCGATGAGACCCCCAGGTGGTTTGACATGCCTTCGTCAACCACGATCACGCAGCGCGGCGCCAAGTATGTGAAGCTGCTGTCCACTGGCAACGAGCACTCGCGCTTCACCGTCATGCTGGCATGCACGGCAGATGGTAAAAAGCTTCCGCCCTTCGTCATTTTCAAACGCAAGACAATGCCGAGGGAAGTGTTCCCGCCCGGTGTTGTCGTTCGCGTCAACAAAAAGGGATACATGGATGAGGCCATGATGCTCGAATGGATACAAGTGGTGTGGAACCGTCGGCCAGGTGCACTGCTGCGTCTTCGCAGCATGCTGGTGTTGGATGCGTTTCGTGGCCACTTGACCGATGCAGTGAAACGCGCACTCGGCGACGGGAAAACGGACCTTGCCGTGAGACCAGGTGGTATAACGTCCACCCTCCAGCCGCTCGACGTTGTACTAAACAAGCCGTTCAAGGACCGAGTGCGGCTGGAATACCAAGAGGTCCGGCGACAACCACAAGACACCGACGGGCCGCCTACAGAGGCCTCCGCTTGCGACTGTTTGTGGCTGGGTGCTTTCCGCCTGGCGCTCCTTGCCGGATTCCATGGTGGAAAATTCTTTCAAGAAATGTTGCATCAGCAACTCGCTGGATGGCACTGAAGACGACGCACTGTGGGAGGCGGCCAGCGACAAACTCTCGTCTTCAGAAGACAGTGGTGCTTCGTCGGACGAATAGGAGCAGTTGCGATGGTGGTAGAGGGGAGCTCCGACGATCGGGATGCGGTGCGCCCAATTCGCAAATAAATGTGGTTCGGCAGTTTTGGGCTGTTTTCCTTTTTTTTTTTCCGTTAACCTGAACTTGGGGGGTCGACCTATATTCCCACTCGACCTATAGTCCGGTTTATACGGTACATTGATAGGCCAGAGCTCGCAAACAGTGCACCGCCTGTTCCTGGTCTTTCTTCCGCAACGTCATTTTGACGCGACGTAGCTTTCACAAGTGTTGACACAAATGAGAAAGACAGAATGGGTTTCGCCACAATGAACGCTGCAACGAGATCCGCTTCTCTGAGTTCCTTGGTGGTGTTTAAGGGGGCCACACCGTTTGAAAAAACAATCACGAAAAAGTTGATTTTTCTTGAAAACCAAATAGTACTCGCGTAGTGTGTCTCAAACTATTTGTTCTGAAAATATGAGTGTAATTCATCGTAAAAGTAGGTAAAATAAATTACATAACAAGCCACAGCAGCCAGCGAGCGCTAAAAATACCCCCTCCCCCTCCCCCCATACTTTGCGTGCTCGCAGTTTACAAACCATGAGGCCTAGCGCTGCCATTTTGGTGTTTTGCTCATGAATTCTTGTTTTTTTTTTTTGCTAGCCT